CAGGCAGGGATGAAGTAACTTGCATTTGGAAGAGAAGCTACCAAATTTACAAGTGTAGATTTAGAAACCTGATACTTTGGGTCAGTGTTTACATACCCCTCTTGATTTGTGGCAAAAAGATTATAAATCTGAAAACAATTTAAAAAAAAATTTCTAAATTTGTAATTTATATTCCCTTTTTTCTTTAAATGTTCCCAAATATTTTTGGAACTGGGTAAACATCTTTATGCTTGGGACTGTTCCTTCCATTGCCTGGTATTGGAAATTCAGTGAGACAGAGCTGAACCTGACATACCAGGAGTGGTTGTGACTTTGGTATATGCAATATTGCTATATTTTCACATTTTTTTAATTTTTTTTTTTTTTAGTAAAAACCAGCATTTTGGCTTTATTCTTAAGTACCTTTTGTATTATTGAGAGGAAGTTGGGGAGACAAAGGCAGTATGGCTCCTTCCTATATGAAACTGAAATTTGGTCTTTAAAACTATGGTTAAAAAAATCCGTGCTGATGAAGATGATTGCAGTGGACTTTCTAAAAATGAGGAAAATTTTTATGTTGTGGTTGTAGTTATCCTCCTAAATGATATCAAAATATGTTAGAATGGTTTCCACTTGCATTAGGTGATAAATTAGGAGTATGGTGGTTCTATATCAGTTTCCTTAAGTCTTTAAAAGCACTCTGCTGCTGCCTGAACTGTAGTGAAGATTAATATTAAATTACTATTAACCCTCTTTTCTTAGTGAGGAAACACAAATAACTTGATGCTGAGAAGCTAGCAATAAAAGATAAGGTCTCAATGTGTAGTTGCTGGCCTGAAACCTTTTTTCCTTCTCTTGTTTCTGTTGAAAACAAGCCACAAAAAAACAAGCCCAAAGGCAGATTGTTTCCTGGTGCAGGCATCTTAAAAGACCAGTCTCTTGTCTCTATACATAAATTCTTCTTTTGTCTTTTTGGCCTGTTACAGTGTTTTGCAGTGTTATATTTGTTTCAGTGTTTCTTTTTGATCCCTAGGTTACATCCCAAAGGTGTGGATAAGCACCACGATGGATCTCCACATAGACAGGTGGGTTGTACGTTGTGCTGCTGAAATTGTGCAGGAGAATATTGCTGACGTCTCCCTTTGCTGAAGGAGTCCAGCTTCACAGCTGGCTCCGTGTGTCCAGTGGGACTGGGGTTCCTTGTGTCCCCACACAGAATGTGGGGAGCGTTGGGTACTTCTGAGATGGATCCAAAAGGAACCAACATCCCCTTGTAGGAAACATCTTGTAGTCATTAAGAAATCCGCTCCGGTTCCTTCATCCCTCTAAGTCTCTAAAGTATTAGAAAGGCACATCTCTCCAAATCGCCTATGTGTGTTTTATCTGCTTTTCTGTGGTTTTTGGGAGGGCATCGCTTCAGTTTTGAGTCTGCAATTTGTTTTAAAATAGAGAAACTGGAGTCTTAATACCTTAATTGGCTAAACCCGTAATCGTTGTTATTTATTTTATACTTATTTTCTTTTCCTTGATTTCATTAATTTTTCTTAAGTTCATCTAAAAATTAAAAAGAATTAAAGAAATGATGGAATGTCAAACGTCTTTAAATGATGATAGTCTTTAAAAGATGAAATCTCAAACATCTTTAAGAAACTGTCTTTGCAAAAGAAAATTGCAACTTTATTGTTGCAATTATTGTAACAGGTTACGATAGATGTCTTCTATAATAAAAATACTTGCATCTTCTTGGTTCTTTTATCTGCAGTAAATTGCATCCTCTTGACACTCTGACTGGCTTACTGGACCTCTCCTTGTTTTACCATGCCTGGTTATGTGGGGTATTTCTTCTGATTACCTGGTACATTGCGTGGTTACTCTTCAAAATCTACGCCACAGAGGTTAGTATTGGGTGACAGTGCTAAAGGTGTTTCACAGACAATACAAAATAAGCATTTCACAGACAATATTTTCTTTTCAAAAGCAGTTTTATTAGGAAGTAACATTACAAATTCTGAAGTTTTCAAAGCATGCACCGCAGGTAGTGTCTGATAACTGAACAGATGAGAGAGGCTGGATGTTAACTGACTCCCCCTTCCTCTTCCTGTAGCACAAATCTATGCTGCTTACAAATTAACAGGTTTACAGCAATGCTTTGTTATTTCCACCTCCTCCTTTTACTCTCCTCTACTTCTGTTTCCACGTCCCCTTTCTCCTGTTCGTGTTTGATGCTAAATCCACGCAGAAGCTGTTGGGGCCACCTTAACAAAGAACCACATTATGCCTCATGGAGTCTGCACCATGTTCTTTGTCCTCTTTAGGTGTAAAGACAGACAAGCCAGTGCAGGGCCCGTAGGTGTCTGCAGAGCTTGGTCTCCACGTGTGTTTCCGTGCAGTGATTTGGTGTTTGAGTGTGAGAATAGCTAAAGGCTTGTGACAAACAGCTAGAGGTTACATGGAAAGAGAACATCCAGGGACTCCACAGCTCTCAATCTAATTTTACAATATGAAAGGAAACAAAATGCTGTCCGTTTTCTGCGAGCTGAGCTCTCGAAATCTCAAATTTAAGCAAACCATCAAAGTACACAGCTCTCCGAAGCAGGGACCGCTTTGGCCTGCAAAGCAGGCTGCGGTATTAAAATAGACTTCAAGCAGTCTTGGGAATTAAGACACTTTTCCCTTTTTATTCAATCATAAAGTTACAAATTAATATTGCTAAAAAAAGACTGTTTAAATATATAATGAATCATATTAGGATAAATGTGAGACTGTGATTGAAGAGGCAAAAAAAAGAAGTCTTGGCAACAGAGAATTGGAGAAGACTTGGTCTTTGTTGACTAATCCAGATATTTCTTTGTAAGAATACAGAGGAAAAAATTGTTCATCTCCCTTGATTTTTTTTTTTTTTTAATGTTACTGGACTGTGGGTTAGTAAGAAAAAAGCGAGGTTTAAATCCTGGACCAGTGCAATGATGCAAAACGCTCCTACAGGATGAAGTGGCATATAGTGCTTGGAGTGTTGGCTTTAATTAAAAAGGTCTAGTTGTGTCTGCACGAGAAAAGATTAAGGAGTGAAGCAAAACTGATGTCATGATGGGTCAGAGTCTGTAGACAGCTCCAACAGCAGTTACAAGGTGTGAACAACCTTTTTCAAAGGATAGTAGTTGAAGCACCAGTGAATGAATGCTGGGTGTCGGTGCCTGCGATTTTTTTTATTGCATATAAAGCTCTGGAAGACAAAATAAACATCCATCTGTGAAGGTATAAAATAGACCTTTTGACTGTCAAACAAAGTATTTCTTTATCTACATGATTTGTTTTTTAAGAGCTAAAAAGCTTCCAAAGCTGTTTGTAAATATTTGTGTAGAGTTAACTGAAAAGTCAGGAAAGACATTGTAAATTTAATCCACATGAAGTCACTCTATTAACACTTTGTAAGCAATTGCTACCTTAAATTTCAATTTTGCAGTTGGAAACAGGGGAGAATAAAGCTGTGATACGTAAAATGAGTGCAGTAACCCAAAATTGGCAGGTAATCTGTGCCTAAAATGGTCCGTGTTAAATATTGTTTAAAAATGCAATGTTTGATACAATTTAAGAGCTGCTGTTCACATTTTAAATATTGTAGCCACAAGGAGAAATTCTATTAAAACACAGAATATTAATATCATGATGAGAAGAATTCATTAATTTATCAGCAAAACAGTGCAAAAGAAAAATTTTAATAAATCTTTTATTATTTGGTAAAAGAACCCTCAGTTCTTCACCAGAGTGGTTACACTGTTAAATATAGACATTATAGTTTAAATTTCAGTCTTGTATCTGAATGTGTTGTCACTAACTTTTCCCCTGGGTATGTGGTTAGAGGAATTTCTTTTCATAATGATGTGATGCCCCTAGCTATGAATTATATGGGTACATAGAAGATAAAGATATAGGAATTTTCTAAGATTTTTCAGTTTTAAATGTAAGGAGTAAAGTCTTTGTGTTTTTATCTTGGAAATTTCAGGCTAGTTTAATGTTGAAGGAATGGGGTGTGTGCTGTCCTAATTCATCATTCATCTGAGAAGTAAGATATCAGGTGTGGACTTCCATATGGTTTTCTTGTGTTTTGCTGTGTATAACACAACTTTTGATGTTTACGTTTAGACGCATCATTTTCCTGTCCAGCCAACTTTTGCTGAGGAGACAGACCAGTGCCTGCCTAAAATCCTAAGCAGCAACCCTCCCCTCATTATAAAGGTAATTGAATTCCCACCCTCTTCCTAGCCACCTGTCTGCTCAGGAGGTGTTTCTCAAAGCACGCGGTCGCATCTTCCAGGTACTGGTTATTTTAACTGAGGTGCTCCTTCTTTAAAAAGCTGCCTCAGGACACTCGAGGTTACACTTAATGCTGAAAATTTGTTTAGTAGTGACATCTGCTGGTGCTCCCCACACTGTTCCCTTTAAGCTGAAGACAGATTCGTTAAGTTAGACCTATTTGCTTGCAGCATAAGTATATTATCATGTAGTGAGGCAAAAACAAAAGGTTAGTGACATTCAGGGTTTGTTTTTTTTTTAAACCTTTTCAGCTTTAAGTCTTGTCAGATAAGCATGTGTTTTGTCAAACCTTTGTATGCTCTTAATACTCCTAAGTATAATATAAGTAGCCCCTGCTACTTATATTTGAGCTCTTAAGTGTGTGTTCTCTCTTGAAATTGAAAAATTATTTCTATGCTTTTTTGGAAGTTGTTTTTTTTTTTATTATTATTTATAAAGACAATACTAAAAGACTACTTAAAAAGTGAGTAAAGAAGAGTAATTTTCGTCTGACTATGGTAATCATTAATGGGATTTACTGATTATAATACTTAGAAATTGGAGACCTCATATAAGAAGTATTATGCAAATAAAGATAAGAATATTCACCAGCACATGCAAAATCCACTTTTACTGGTTTTACAGATCTCTGATAAGACTGGAGATATAATAGGCTCTAATCCATTTGAATCCCTTTTTAAGCTTTGCTGTATTATCAAAGGATGGACGAAGGAGGGTCGAGCACAGCACTGTTAAAAGTAGAAGTCATCTAATTTATGATCCCAGCTGTTACTAAAGTGTCCAATTGATAATTGGATCTTGCATAGTGTGAGAGATCTAGTAATTTTTTGTTTGCCATGTTGACTAGTTAAAGTCATGAAAAAGCAGTATTAGGTCAGGTATCGTGTGGTGCGCTGCAGTTGAGCTCTGGCTTGAAAAAACAGCTCTCTCCTTAGACTTTTTTTGTATCTTAGGGTCTTTCTGTCTGAGCTGTTAAGATAAAAAATAGTGTTAGGTCTTTTTTAACTCCAGAGAAATGTCATTTAATAAAGTTCTCTGAAGCTCTTTCTAACTCAGCAGCGCCATCCAGCGTGATTCTGGGGATGTGCACAGTCATTTGCCTCATTTTTTTTCTGTTTAGTGGCTGGGGTTAATCTGTGTGAACTCATTCTTTGCTAGGGATTGCTTTTGTATGGAGAACTAAATTTTTTTTTTTACAGCAAATATATTGGACTTCTCATGCACTAAAACCCTCTTCTTTCCTTGCAGTTTTTAGCCTTACAAGACTTGATGTTACTTTCCCAGTACTCTCCTGTTCGGCGACAGGAAGTCTTTAGCCTTAGTCAGCCAGGTAATTATAGAAAATATTTCATGTTGGTTCTTTTACTTTTATTAAAAATGTTATTCAAATGCTTTTAGACGGTATTTCATGTTGAGAGACCTGCTATATAAGCCAGGAGGCCTCATCCCTGTGGTGCCTTTTCCAAAAGGATGCTTCATTTTCTATATTTGTATTGTTTCATCTACTAAACTCAACAAATTGGTGCCTGTTGTTTGATTTAAACAGCAGCCATGAGGAAACACAGGTCTTAGGATATTGAAAGCGGGGTCCTCTTGACACCCCCAGTCAAATAGTCCAGAGTGTATAATCTAACAGATGTGTATGAAAGCCCAATGCTCAGATGTGAATGAGGTGAAATCAAGCATAAATAGTGAGTCACCATTAGAGTCGTGAAATCAAACAATGGCTATAATTTCAATTAGTATTCAAGCCTGTTGCTATATACAAAGATATGGCAGAGAAGTTCAATTACAACTGCTTAATAGCCTCCAGGAACTTTTTGTTACACCTCATCAGGAATGCTAGTGTTTGTACTACTTCAAAACTGTTTACTATCACCACTGATACTGCTTTGTTCATTTTAGCTGTTTAGTGATTTCAGATCTGATGGGCTGAGCTGCCTACCTTTCCTTCTTGCTTAGAGGGTTTCACTGCAGTCTTTTTAGAGTTAGCCATTGACAGGGTAGAGACTGTCTGTGTTTTCATCTTCCTCTCCATACAAATAAACTGTCACAGTGAAAATGCACTGTGTCTTTTTAAAAATACTATGACCTCTGAACCTTATGCTGAGAGCACTGTCAGAATAGACACAAGGATGAGCATCTGGGTTAAACACACCTCCAGCATTTCCTTTGTGTGTGTGTACTCCTAGGTGGGCACCCGCACAACTGGACTGCAATATCCAAGGAGTGTTTGAGTCTTCTGAGCGATCTGACCAAGAGGTTGGTCGCCCAGCAGGAAGCTGCAGCAGCAAATGGGAGAGCGAAGCAGCCAGCAGGAGAGCCCAAAGGATTTCCACAGACTCCAGGTACGTGAGGGAAACGCTCGCAATAAAGCATGAAAGTACCGATAGGTTACACGGGTACCTTCGTCTCAATCAAGTTGTGTGGGGAAAATGAGTCACGGGGCTTTCTGCAAATAAATGCAAACAAAATAGTCTCTCCCCGGTTTCATTTTAGGTATTCTGCTTGGAATAATCCCAAAATAACTAGAGAACTTGGAAAGATCATGTTTACTCAGTTTGTTTGCTTTGCATGATGCTATGTTCAGTACAGTATTTTTTCCGTGCTTGCATGAATTAAGAAAGAATAATTAGTATAGTTCTAGTAAGTGATTGAACCTAACGGAGGGAGGACTTAAGCCTTGCCAAGAGATGCTTTGTAATTTGCATAGCTGCTCTTATGATGATGAGTTTGAGATAGTAAAGTTAGTTTTTGTTTTGTTGTTGTGGATACTTCGAATATGTAGTATATATCAGTGTATTCACTAATACCACTGTAGAATAAGAAAATCCAATCTGAATCTGTGTGCAGCCTGCGAGCATTTTGGGTGTTTTACATGCCAGACATAGGCATCGTTTCTGGCAGCAGAACTGCGTTAGCACAAGGGCTGCCAGGTAATTGAATCCCTGAGCAGTCAGTGCCTTGGATACCAGTGCCCTGGGAACAGCAGGGGACTGTTGGTATGTGAGGGGTGAATTTCTTCCAGTGCTGCTGATTTTGTGACTGACATCTCTTATGTACCAAGCAGAATCAGAAAGAATAGCCATTCTTCTATAGGTAGCCTTTTTTTTCTGGTACTTAATCCTAAGAACACACTTTGTGTAGATCTGTACCAGGGTGTAGTAATGCTAGCTAGCAAAAGGAGAAAAGTAAATGAATCCACGGGGATCCTTCTCATCACTTGCTGTTCTTAAACTGATAAACTTTTAAAACGCTTCATGTTCATCTGAATAAGTACTTCTTTGCAAAACCGCAGTGGAAACAATGCCCTTTAATAAAAGCTCTAACGATAGAAAGGCTGTTGAAATAGCAATCAAGTAACAAACCTGTCTTTTATTTCACACATGCCAGCCTGTTTGTCTTCATGCAGCATTTTGTTTGTCATTAGGAGCTGTTGGGGCAGAAGACGTGTCTTTCCAGTCGCCGAGGTCTAATGTCATTCCCAGAGCTTCCATGACTTCTCTGGTTAAATCATCCCTCACGCCTCTAAAGACATCACCCGGGTCTGATGTCAGTTCACCTTTTGGCTCACCAGCTTTAAATGGCAAGATGGGAATTCTGGATGTAAACTCTCCTTGGTATGGATCAGTCCAGAGTCCTCATGTCATGAGAAGGCGACTAAAGCTGTGGACATCAGGTTCAGGTAGAGATTCTTCCACAGCACTGTTTTTAGCCTTGTAGTCATTAAGTGTAGTAGGTGTGTCAATAGAGATCTGTATCTTGAGGATTAAAGTGAAAGCAACCAGTTTTTCTGAAGATGCTATATTTCTCTTGTAGATTTACAAATGAATGGCTCCCACCACGAATCCCTCCCAGTGCTCTCTGCTGCAAGAGCTGGCAGTGAGGCAGTACAGCCAAGCTTTATTTACACGTGGCTTCAGAACAAGCAAGAGCAGGTAAAGTAAAAGTTGCAGTATGGAGAGGTTACGGCCAGTGGGGTTCTCTCTTCTGAAAGAACTTTCCATTTTTGTTAATGAATACTTCCTTCCCCAATTAGCTTACATAATGAAAATCCTTCCCCCTGCGCCCCAATCCCTTTCCACTCCAAGGAGATGGTAGGGTTGAGGAGGGTTGTGCATACCCTCAGATAAATACAGATTATCTTTTCAATCTTTTGTTTCTTTCCAGATAAAAAACTTCTTGTCCAAACGAGTGCTGATAATGTATTTCTTCAGCAAGGTAATTATCATCCTGTGTTTTGTGACTGAGTAGCATGGACTAGAACTGTGTGAGCATATGGGTTCTGCTGCGGTGCTCTGTACAGTTTGCGTATATTAACAGCTCTAAAAACCTTTCTTTTAATCTAAGGTTTTCTATAAGTACAACATCATACTTATTACAAGCTTCATAGCAGGAGTGTCCCATACCTGCATAAAAAAGAATAATAATACTTGTTTAAACTCATGTGGTTATAAAATGGATTTTGCTTAAAGAATTGTGTAGTAGTTAAAACTTAACTGAGAACTTAAGTGCACTTAATAATGTCTCAGTATATTAATTGTAAGATGACATGGCATCCAGTTAATTTTAAAATTCAGTTAACTACTTTTTGCTAGGTCAGTGTACCAAATAAATTCTTTATAGTTTTCCTTTGTGGGAAAAGTGGTAGCTAGAATGTTGGGAATTTCTCCTTAGGAAATAGTGGTACTGATATTACTACTACTTTTCAGGTGAACTTTGAATAGTTAAAAGAAACTTGCATAGTGTTTACACAAAAAAGGAATTGGGTATTTGTCGTAGCGTAATTGAACAATAACTCAAAGTTTTCCAGAAGCATCTCCCTCTAATTTTGATCTTTGTTTTTCAGGGATTTAAATGTTTCCTGCAAGTAGAGATCATATATTTTTTTTATGCAGATCTGTTCTGCATATGTCATAATGGTTTATGCTTACATGTACAGCAGTGTTTTCTGATCAGTTATAGACTGGAGCGGAGACAGACACAAGCAAGATCATGAAATAGGCAGAGGGGAATTATATTGCCTAATTAGCCCTTGAAAACTAGTTAGCTAAGATTATTTTTTTTTCCCCTTTAAGTTCATATGCATAACTATGGCTTTGTTGGCAGCTCCTGTCAAAAAAAAAAAAAAGTAGTTTCTTAAAAAATCAGATTTTTCTGGGTATTCCCCTGAGATCTGTCAACCTTTCAGGTCTTTTCTGAGGGGAGGGAGACAACCCCATCAAATTTGTAATACCTTAATTGAAACCTGCAATTTTGGTGATAGTTTGTCAAGTGCACTCAGAATGCTTTTGATTTCTTCTCAGCACCCTGAAGCCTCCATCCAGGCTGTCTTCTCTGATGCCCAAATGCACATCTGGGCGTTGGGAGGTAAGCACTTTCCAGGTGATCCACTCTGTTGGCTCATGGAACTACAACTAAAAGGATCCAATTCCAGGTTTCTGGGCCTCTGTGCTTTATAAATACAACGGAATTAAAATCTTTGAATCTGTTTTGACAAAAACCTGACTGCATTTCAGATACCAACACGAATAAAGGTTTAATTGACTTGTTAGCTTTGAGATCCCATGTGAGATCTCTTAGTTTACATTCCGTAGAGGTTTGGTAGAGATTCCTAAACTTGTTTTCCATTGCTTCTCTCCCAGGTGAAATCATGCATTGCTTGTACATTTTTTTCAGTAACAGATTTATGATATCTTTTTATAACAGCTTTTCTGACTAAAGGCTCTGAGTCCTCATTAATCACGGAGAGAGGGAGGGAGTAACTCAGCTAGTACCTTAAGAAATAAATGGAAAAGGATGGTCCACAGAGAATTAAAAGAACAATGACAATATCTGGTTGCACTACGGGATTTTCTTGATTGTTTCAAACTCATGAGAAAACACAAGTATTGATGGGATCTTTTATTAGGTTTGTCTCTGCCAAAGTTGGTCTTTTTGCCTAGGTTAGATGTTTTATGGCTGTGTCAGACTGAAGGCGATGAGTTGGGACATGGAGTCAGGAGATGGGAACGACACGTACAGTTTGCAGAAAAGCAGATGATACCATTTGTGTTCTAACTAAGGGCAGAGGGCTAAGCTGTAAATTTATAAAATATGATAAAAAAGTAAACTGAGAAGGGACTTTGAAGGAAACCTTGATTTAAGCTCTAAGTAGCAGAGAGTTCTTATACAAGCTGACCAAGGCAAGTGAAGTGATCTGGCAATGTTTGTTTATGGTGAGAAGAATTGTGAAATATTTGTCTCTTAGTTGATGTCAGATTCAGCTCTCATCAGAGTAGTGGCAAGAGGGAGCCAAGGCTTCTTTAAAATTTATTTTATGTATAATTTTTCTTGCCTTGTCATCGATGTCAAACTATTGTCCACTGCTCAAACCACTGACTGGTTTGGTCCTGAAGAAAGCCAAGTCCTGAGATAACTATGTCATCTGGCTGCAGTAAATACTGAAGAATTCTGCCACACTAGTAGTATCTTCAGGCAAACCATAATCTAGTGCTTCAGAAGCTGAGAATTCAGTAATTATAACAAACTTCTTTTTTTAAAAGGTCTGTCTCATTTGGTAGCAGCCTCCTTTACTGAAGACCAATTTGGAGTTGTCCAGACTACACTGCCAAATATCCTGAATACTTTACTGACTCTTCAGGAGGTAAAAACTGTTAACTTTTCCTTACTGCAGAAAAAGTTTGGGAGAAGAGGAGGAGTTTTATTAATTTCATATTTTTTCCTTGGTGACCAGTCATAACATTCAAGTTTCTTACCACTGTAAATGGCTTTTCTTCTGCAGTTTATCTAAACAAAACAGCTGGTTGCTGTTTTGTGCTATGTGCATTGTGAAACAGCTGAATAAAAACTTTGTTAGTTTATTAAAATGTAGAAACAGAAAGCATGTTTTTAACGGAATGTTTAATTTGAAAAAAGTGGAACGTTATGCTCAGTTAAAGACCTTATTTCAGGGATGCAGCACTTCCAACTACGCATAAAATATAGTGTTATGACTTAATCTTTATTTGGCTGTACACAATTCCTCGTGCAACCTGGAGCACTTAGAGACATTGCAAATCACAGGAGATAAGATCTGTGTCATGTTTCTCTACTAATACTAAGTCCAATTACTGGTGTTTGTGTAATGTGTATTTGAAAAAAATCCAGATGTGTTTCCAAGGCTATGTGTGTCCTATTGACATAATCATTTTACACTGCCTTAATGGAGATTCTTGGAAAGAATGTAGAGGTTATTAAAGTTCTTCAGTGCAATCTATTCCAAGAACAGGCACCAGGGGGAAAAAAAAAGCCAATACATTTTTTTTGTGTGTCTTGGTGGGATTTCTGAACTTGCACTTTCTTTTTGCTTTATTTGATATAAACATACTGTTCGTTACATTATGAAATCATTGAACAGATGAAACAAGTTCATTTATGTTTTTCTCAACCAGGTTGTAGACAGATATTTCAAACTGCCTCACGTTTCTAGCAAGCCCCCCAGGGTTTCAGGAAGTCTGGTGGACACATCCTACAAAACGCTACGATTTGCACTTAGAGCATCTCTGAGAACAGCACTGTACCGGATAACGACCGTCTTTGGAGAACACCTGAAGTAAGACCTTTTTCGTGATTGATTGCTGGCTAAATTTTGGTTTTAATTTACATTATTGTGAAAAGGGAAGTTTGGGCAAAAACCCCTTCATGTCATTATTCTTATGTGGTATTCTAGTATTTTTTGATATGCGGAACCTTAAATCCTTATGTAGATATCTGCCCCTCCCCTTAGAAACTTATTATTCATAGATTTCTGGGCAATTTTTCCTAGTGACTTTTCATGAACTCTTTCGAAGCAGTCCATGAATACCACTCATTTAATAAATCTTCGCTATTGAAAAGAAAGTAAACCAACTAGAGACAATTGTCTGTTCTGTAGGGAGAGAATCCTGAGAATCCTATGAAGAGTCCAAGTGCTCAAATTCCCTTTGCTTCTTGGTTGTCAGATGGCTCACTCTCAGCTACTGTCCCAGCAGGCAGGCTTTAAAACTTGGCCTCTTCGTATGCGGGATTGAAAATTCCTGCAGTATCTGCCCATCTCTCTCTGTGGAGGTGAAATGTTCCTCAGTTTGGAAGTGCTAGATATACAAGAGAGATTGTTATAAGAGATTATTTCTTGCCTAAATCATTCTTGCAAGTTAATTGCTTGTGTGTGTTTAGAGGTAAGAAAATAGGCTAGGTTTCTAGGGTCAAGTGTCTTGGTAGTGGAAGCTGTTGAGGGTAAGAATTGCCAGTTTTAAGGGTTAATACACATTTTTGTCTTTTTTTTGGAACATAGGTTTTCATACAGCTGGGTTTTCTAAAATTTAGCTCCAGTGTAATTGTGTTGATTTCAGTGTATACTTAATTTTGATGTGAGACTTTACTTTTGTGGTGTATTACATTTACTGTAAAATCTTACGTTCTACATTTGTTGTTTTCAGTGCAGTGCAAGTGTCTGCAGAACATAAGAAAAGACTTCAGCAGTTCTTGGAATACAAAGAATAAATAACAGATTTTGATGTAGCTACGATTTTTTTTTTCCAACTCTCTCGGTAAGAAGAAAATGGGACTAATGAACCTTTTTATCTTGGCTTTTTGGAAAAGCATACGGAAGTACAGGTCAAAGAACAAAACTCTTAGAGCTGTAGAAGAGCTCTTTGGGGTTTGGATCATCTTTTGTATAATAAAACTTTCTTAAAATTCATCTTGCCTCCTCTTAATACCAGTTACAAATGGGAAAGTGTCAGTTCTTATTTTACGTAAGACTGTGACATTTGAGATTACTGCAGTTACTCTGCCACTCAGATCCTTCGCTCTTTTTCTCGATGTATTCTTTCCCTACCCTTTTCTGTTAAAGGGCTGAGTAGAGATTTACATAGATACTTAGTGTGCCTAAGTGTTTCATAAATTTAGTTGATAACACTTTCAGTGCAGATGAAGTGTGTACTTTAAGAATAGGGAACAGATGTGCTCTGGAATAAAACATGCTACTCTTCTCTGAGATGGAAATGTACCTTCAGAGCAAAATGGGTGTGCAGAAAGGCATCGTTATGACACAAATACTGCTGGAAAAGGTACCAGCTTGGATTTAATCTTTAAGGTGACCCAGGAAATGAAGTTCTGAGCTACACTGAAACATACAAGAAACATTACTGTATTTAGTAAAACTCCCAAGTAATGATATTGTGAATTAAACTTTACATCAACAGCTTTCTTTTAAGGTGGATAGGAAGGATGTTCACAGCACATGCAACTTTTTCAAAATAACATACGTTATATTTTTCACTAGAAGCATTTTTAAAAACTATCTGTTTGAAAATTAGCTACTGTATTTTTTAATCTGACTCCAGCACTGTGGTGTCTACACTAGAAAACACGTATGAAGAGCTTAGATGTAGCTGCAATACCTTACTGTAACTTCCTTGAGATGAAGGTAAGCTAACTGGTCTTGCAAATTAATTTAGTGTGATAAGGGGAAACAAAACGTGGATAGTTTTCCTTCAGTTCTCTTCATCTTCCTTGAGATGAAAACTGGTCTTGCAAATTAATTTAGTGTGATAAGGGGAAACAAAACGTGGATAGTTTTCCTTCAGTTCTCTTCAGTTCTCTTCAGCTCTCTTCAGCTGGTGGTCCTATGGGTTTTGGGGCTTTCTTTTGATGGAGGGTTCAAGATCTGAAGATGGCCACAGTGTCAGTTCTGTCGGTGTGATGAAATGATCAGCTGATGGAGTGGTTGCGTAGTAATAAATCTTTCGGGAGCCTGTAAGGTTTAAGTAAAAGAGAAACCCCCCTCAGATTTACAATGAGACCTGCATATTGCTTTCCTCAGTACAGAGACATGTATTTTTTTTTTAGATTTGATAGTGGAAATTAGGACTGTGGTGTTTCTTGAGGTTAAGCACAAACTCTTTTAAAACTTCCCCAAGCTTAACTTCTACCACAGGTTTGACTACTATGTCAAAGCCTCTTGCCTGCCTGGCTTATTAAATTAATTTGCTTATTTTCTAGTGTTGCAATGTGCACCTGGAGTTAAAACAGTGCTTTAGCAGGTACCTCAGGTGTTAACTGTTGACCCAAACACTTCAGCTGAAATTTTCAAATAAATTTTTCAGGCATTTAAACAGGTGCAGAATGTTCGGGGTTGGTTTTGGGGGGATTGTTTTGAGTTTGGGGTTTTTTTTTATTGCTCTGGTGTTTTCTGCAACACTCCCACAACTGTAAGCTGCAAGTTGTAATTAACAGCGTTATGGCTGTCAGCAACAGGCTTAAAATGTATGATGAGTTTTCGATGCCAAAGTGTTTGAGGTCTGTCCTCCTGGTGTTGCAGTAGAGATTTGCACATGACATCTGCTAATGTGCACGTGATTCATGGCATTCTCTGTGTATGACAGAAGAGCTTTCAAAAGCTGATTGCTTTGTGGTTTCTTTAAAAGCTCCAATTCTTAAAGAGCTGTAGACTCCTCTTTTTTTTTTTTTTTTTTTTAAGCTTTTCATACAGCTGGGTTTTCTAAAATTTAGCTCCAGTGTAATTGTGTTGATTTCAGTGTATACTTAATTTTGATGTGAGACTTTACTTTTGTGGTGTATTACATTTACTGTAAAATCTTACGTTCTACATTTGTTGTTTTCAGTGCAGTGCAAGTGTCTGCAGAACATAAGAAAAGACTTCAGCAGTTCTTGGAATACAAAGAATAAATAACAGATTTTGATGTAGCTACGATTTTTTTTTTCCAACTCTCTCGGTAAGAAGAAAATGGGACTAATGAACCTTTTTATCTTGGCTTTTTGGAAAAGCATACGGAAGTACAGGTCAAAGAACAAAACTCTTAGAGCTGTAGAAGAGCTCTTTGGGGTTTGGATCATCTTTTGTATAATAAAACTTTCTTAAAATTCATCTTGCCTCCTCTTAATACCAGTTACAAATGGGAAAGTGTCAGTTCTTATTTTACGTAAGACTGTGACATTTGAGATTACTGCAGTTACTCTGCCACTCAGATCCTTCGCTCTTTTTCTCGATGTATTCTTTCCCTACCCTTTTCTGTTAAAGGGCTGAGTAGAGATTTACATAGATACTTAGTGTGCCTAAGTGTTTCATAAATTTAGTTGATAACACTTTCAGTGCAGATGAAGTGTGTACTTTAAGAGTAGGGAACAGATGTGCTCTGGAATAAAACATGCTACTCTTCTCTAAGATGGAAATGTACCTTCAGAGCAAAATGGGTGTGCAGAAAGGCATCGTTATGACACAAATACTGCTGGAAAAGGTACCAGCTTGGATTTAATCTTTAAGGTGACCCAGGAAATGAAGTTCTGAGCTACACTGAAACATACAAGAAACATTACTGTATTTAGTAAAACTCCCAAGTAATGATATTGTGAATTAAACTTTACATCAACAGCTTTCTTTTAAGGTGGATAGGAAGGATGTTCACAGCACATGCAACTTTTTCAAAATAACATACGTTATATTTTTCACTAGAAGCATTTTTAAAAACTATCTGTTTGAAAATTAGCTACTGTATTTTTTAATCTGACTCCAGCACTGTGGTGTCTACACTAGAAAACATGTATAAAGAGCTTAGATGTAGCTGCAATACCTTACTGTAACTTCCTTGAGATGAAGGTAAGCTAACTGGTCTTGCAAATTAATTTAGTGTGATAAGGGGAAACAAAACGTGGATAGTTTTCCTTCAGTTCTCTTCAGTTCTCTTCAGCTCTCTTCAGCTGGTGGTCCTATGGGTTTTGGGGCTTTCTTTTGATGGAGGGTTCAAGATCTGAAGATGGCCACAGTGTCAGTTCTGTCGGTGTGATGAAATGATCAGCTGATGGAGTGGTTGCGTAGTAATAAATCTTTCGGGAGCCTGTAAGGTTTAAGTAAAAGAGAAACCCCCCTCAGATTTACAATGAGACCTGCATATTGCTTTCCTCAGTACAGAGACATGTATTTTTTTTTTAGATTTGATAGTGGAAATTAGGACTGTGGTGTTTCTTGAGGTTAAGCACAAACTCTTTTAAAACTTCCCCAAGCTTAACTTTTACCACAGGTTTGACTACTATGTCAAAGCCTCTTGCCTGCCTGTCTTATTTAATAATTTAATTTGCTTATTTTCTTGTGTTGCAATGTGCACCTGGAGTTAAACCAGTGCTTTAGCAGGTACCTCAGGTGTTAACTGTTGACCCAAATACTTCAGTTGAAATTTTCAAATAAATTTTTCAGGCATTTAAACAGGTGCAGAATGTTCACCTCAGGTGTTAACTGTTGACCCAAACACTTCAGCTGAAATTTTCAAATAAATTTTTCAGGCATTTAAACAGGTGCAGAATGTTCGGGGTTGGTTTTGGGGGGATTGTTTTGAGTTTGGTTTTTTTTTTTATTGCTCTGGTGTTTTCTGCAACACTCCCACAACTGTAAGCTGCAAGTTGTAATTAACAGCGTTATGGCTGTCAGCAACAGGCTTAAAATGTACGATGAGTTTTTGATGCCAAAGTGTTTGAGGTCTGTCCTCCTGGTGTTGCAGTAGAGATTTGCACATGACATCTGCTAATGTGCACGTGATTCATGGCATTCTCTGTGTATGACAGAAGAGCTTTCAAAAGCTGATTGCTTTGTGGTTTCTTTAAAAGCTCCAATTCTTAAAGACCTGTAGACTCCTTTTTTTTTTTTTTTTTTTTTAAGCCTGTACTTAAAAGTGCATCTTTAAGGGTATCTCATGTTCATGAATCAAAGTACAAGAATATAAAGCGTACATTGGATGCCTTCTGAAGATGGAATAAGTGGCTTACACAACTCTAACAGGGATAACATCTTATTCTAGTTCTGGCTTTGGGAATAATTATATTCCTCTGACAACTGTGCTGGTGTTTCAAGTCCTTTTATATACTTCTGTCTTAACATAAAAATAATAAGTCTGTGAAGCCTCTGTGAGGTATGGGAAGAGTCTCTCGAGTTCATTTCTACATTCTGGGTAATGAGGAAAAAAATAAAGCCTTTTTACAGTTGGTTCCTGTGTAACTGCAGTTAAATTGGATCCCTCAAGCCTGATAATATTTCTCATCTGTTTAATCATCTCGAAGCTGAGCTGCATCTTCTGGCTGGATTGCATACCAAATGCACAAGGGAAACCCATAGCATTTGGTTTGATGGCTGTTCTGGTAACCCTGTGAACTCACCTGCCTCTCCCTACAGGTAGGCTGTGGGCAAGGGTGTCTGAAATGATTTTCACTGCAGCTGGAGGTGGAATGCTGATGATTTTGTTTTCCTGTTAGAATGGAGTAGTGAAATAGAGGCTTTAGCTCTAAAGCAGTCTCTTATAAATATGAACAAAACCCTATTCTGTGTTGTTTTCTGAGATATATCAATTTGGAAAGTCAGACTGTGGGTGGACAAATGCAGTGGCTTGTCCCTTGAAACAGCTGCATGCTGCTGTATCCGAGGGAGCTGGGCAGGACTTGCTCCCTCAACAGGAGCACTTTTGCCACTTTGGAGAATTGTCTCGATGCCAACTGCAGCTCAAGGCCTGAATGCACCCTTGAAATGAAGTGGTTTCGATTCTGTTGCTGCTTACTTTGAACAGAGGCTGTATTGTACGTACCGTGCTCCATGTCTTAAGGCCCTCAACAGCCGTCTTCTCACCTACGGAGATACACGTATGGCTCCGAGGGCAAGGTGAGCACCCCTCCAGATGCCTCCAGCTGCAGCTGTGGAACTATCAGTCTCTTGCTGATGGATTTGCTGGTCCCTGCTCAGTCACAGGCAAGTTGTGGGGTCTGTGGGCTGTGTCCTCACCAGACCCTCCCAGCTACTGGAACTGGCTGTGTGTGGGATCCCATGCTCTGCCTGGGGGGAGGCCTGGTGCTTCTGGGCGTTGGGTGTATGTGAATCCATATGAGGTGGTCCTAAGAGCACCTTCAGCTGTGTGGGTGCTTCTTGCCATCTGCAGTGCTGTCCCCTTTCCCCAGGGGATGAACAATGGCAGCTTGCAGTGCTTTGCATGCTCAGGCTGGCATTTCATAGCTGCAGAGCTTCACAGCTGATGGCAGCCACGCTCCCATCACCACCTTTCTACAAAGATACAATAAAAAGATGAAGGTCTGTGTGGAATCATCATAGATGCTGCAAGTTGGAGACCCTGCCTGCTATCCACACACCCTCTGTCCCCTGCATCTTGATATTTTCCATCAGCAGTGCTGTGTTAACATGTTTGCTATGTGGATCAAATGCAGTTGGGTTCTGTGGACATACCTGGAGTGTGGTTTGCCAAGCTCTGGTGTTGTAAGGGGATGTTCTCGCATCAGAATTTTGCTTCCCCTTGCTGCAGACTCATGGTAGAGGTTTGGATCTGGCATATCAGCTTTGGACAAACCTGTGCTATAAACAAACTGCACAGCTCCCTTGTGTCTGAGAAAACAGCCTGAGAGAGCAAAACCTACACCGTACTCTGATTGCAGAAGACAAGAACTAAATTGGAGAAGACCTCACCTTTCTGCCCTTGCAAAAATCTTGGGACTGCAATAGAGCTAGTCAGTCAAGAGATAAATGAACATGGTGTCTCTGGAGCCTGCCATGAGATCAAAACACAAGTTCAAGGGGGAACAGTTCCCTGGGTGCCCTGCTGGATATGCTACCTGATTCTTCTAATAGGTGGTGATGGCATAAGAGTTCTCTGCTGTGTATTTTTTCTTTTTGTAGTCCCCCTAAAAAGTCAGTTCCAGAAGTAGGAAGCTCTTCTTGGGAGGCCACTCTTTGCAAATCTCACGGTTTCCAGATGCTCTGTTTGGGACACCAAAGGTTGAGTTTAACCGATGGAACTGGAAATGTGCTCTACCATCTACAATCATGGGAAATGCTAAATAACCTGGAGGAAGGGGTGGAGGAAGCAGCCAGCCTTTGTCACAAGTTTAGCAGTCTAACCAAAGCTTTTGGCTTCTGGGCCTCTGTTGTAAAATGGGGTTTAGTCTAACCCTGCCCTTCCTCACCTTCAATAATGATAATTAAGTATCTGTCTGCAATGGGTAGGCTCCTGCAGTGATGGACACCAAAGAAATGGCCTGGAGAAAATTAATAACACTTTATTCTGCGCAGGGCTTGGCCGATGTGCAGTAAATATATTCAATGTGTGGTCCGGACACTATGCCAACAAAGAGAGAACAGAGGAGGGACGAGCTGCTCATTCAGCAATCACTATCTTCAGTGCATTGAATATAGGGATCCCCAGGCAAAATGAGTGTGGGGCCATGCTATAAAGCCAGTACTATAACTCATTTATAGTAGGCATGAATCGAGCTCGTACCAGTAATTCTAGTCCTGGCACGTCCCAATGCTGAGGATTGGATTTTACAAGCTGAACATTCTTAAGTTGTGCTGTCCTGGATTTTTTTTTTGTTTGTTTGTTTATGACTTAAGTTTATTTTACTACCTGTGTTGTGTATGCATGGTGTGAGAGATGAATCTATTTATGGACTGATGGAGAGAAATAATACAGTTGAGTGTTTGAGGAAGCTAACTGCAGGTGTAAACAACCACGTCCTGAATGGAGGCTGGTTGAATGCCTCTTTAATGGTGTTTCTTCCTCAAAAGCCTCTAGAATGATCTGCCAATTAACTGGGGAGGCAGGAAGAAGGGAGAGATCCATAGTATTATGGTGCGTTTTGGAGGTGCTGGTCGTTTCTTGCAGTCTCTGCAAGACAGTGGATTCAGGATTACCATATGCTTTTCCCCAAATATGCTAGTTACTGAAAAGAGACTTGTTTTTAAAAGATAAGTCACAGTGATCTGAGGAATTTATTTTTTTTTTTTCCTAACTACATGAGCTATAAACAAATCTGTATGTTATGAGGCAATAGTTGAGTACATCGCTAGATAATGTGTGGTCAGTTTGACCCTGCTGTCTTAATTTAGGAGGTCATTTTAAAACCACTATAAAAAAAGGGGTTTGTGCTGCCTTAAAGGGCTATGGGCAATCTCTAAGAAACGGGCATACTTACAGAGACAATCCCCTTGGCTCAGTTTTTGTTTGGTTGTTTCTTTTTTACTATCTGTGGTGCAGTAAATTAAAACAAAAACAAGTCTGGGCTTGGCATGCCTTTGTAAATAAACTGCTGTGTGTGAATCGACAGCTCGTTTGCAACCAGGTTATTTATAACAAAGTTTGTTATTTCTCCCACCAGAGAGCTTGTTTTGCCCTGCACTAACAGAATGCTTATGGTAACACCTCCCACCTCTGTCTGTACTGCAACAGTCACACAAAGGCCTCACAATTTCAATTGTGTCCTTTTGAAATTCAGTTTTGTTGCCTGCTGGAGTAGAAGCAGGGATTTCAGTACGGGAAGGAGAGATTAATACTTCAACTCTGCTTGTTTGCTCTGCGCAGCTCACCTTACCTGTATCCGTTCTGCTTCATTCTTCTCCTCCCTCAGAAGAACTGCTCGGGGAACTGGAGTTTTCAGCTTCTTTTGATTTTCTCGAAGATCCGGTTTGTGACCAGCCATAATGCTGAGGCCAGTTACAACCTTCCGTTCCTGAGAAAGGTAAAGAGCATGCTTTGAGGACTGGATTTGGTGAACTGGGATCCCCTTCATTTAGCGTTCTTTCTCCCCTCCAGTTTCCCTCACCTTTTACAGGTGATCTCTCCTTGTCCTCATGTGTACTCAGCTCCCAGGCAGCATCATCTCAAGCCTCTACTCGTGTGGCTGTGACCACAGGGGCTCGTGCTGTCTGGAGCAGAGGCTGAGAGTCTGCAAAAGCATCTGTAGACCCTGAGAAAACTATTGTTATGGCAATGACCTGATCTTGGCTGGTATCAGCAGGGAAAAAATGAAGTATGAAACTTGTTTAAACTTTTTATCCTTGCTGCTCTGCGTAAGCTTTGAGTTGGGCCTGGTGAGATATGGCCTTGTGTGTGCTCAGGGCATAGTTACACTAACTGTGCTCTGGTGATGGAAGGCTGTGTAGTTTCTGTGGCTAACATGGTCCAGGAGCTGGTTTTGGTATCACCTACCACCACCAATGCCCAGAACCATGAGACAGGGAACTTGTTGGTGTTTCAGTGCTGTCTGGTTACAAGGACACCAGTTGGCATGACTAGCACCATTACACCAGCAATTGTCTATGTCCTGGCTTTTTCTTAATTGCTGTGAAGTGCAACTGTCACCCCAGCCTGAACTAGACTTAGGCTACTGTTTTTCTTTGGTCACCAGCTAGGAATGAATGGGCAGATGGGCAAGTCTCTGGTTACTTATTACCTGTGTTCTTCCCAGTTGACCTAAGGAGACGGTATTCAGGCAGGCAGTTGTATTCCTCTGGATGTTTTTTATTCCAAATTGCAACCTGACCCTTTTATATCCGACTTGAAATGAAGCAACCCCCAGGGACTAGCTCTGGGGACTGAAGATGGCCTGTCTGCCTCAACTGAAAGGTCTGCTTTGGTGATGGTGACTTCATTAACAGAGGGAAGAGGCAACTGGGCTAGCTGTGGGTCATGCTATGACCCATGACCACAGCCCTTGGCAATCAGGAATGTTGAACAAGAAGGCTAATATGAGTGAATGTCCCCCCCATACTACTTCTGTAATGGGGAGAGAGGCCAATGACTGGTTTTCACAAGGACACAAGGAGGGGAGACACCCATCTAGCTCATGAATGTAGTGACAACATTGGGTGAATCAGTATTTGCGGTACAGCTTGTGCATACAGTGAAGTCATGGTGACCCAGGGCATAAAACAGCCTTAGCAGCCACGACTGCACTTGCTTGGCCTTTGCTCCAGAACCGAAACATATGAAGCATCTTCGGATTCAGCAGGGAGGCTCCTCCCAGCACTTGTTCCTCCTGCCTCTGTGGACTTGCAGAAGGAGCTGAGTCCTTGGTCTGGAACAGCTCTGGGTGGAAAGCTGCCCGACAGAAAAAGACCTGGGGGTGTTGGTCAATAGTAGGCTGAACACGAGCCAGCAATGTGCCCAGGTGGCCAAGAAGGCCAACAGTATCCTAGCCTGCATGGTAAGTAGGACCTGAGAGGTGATTGTCCCCCTGTACTTGGCACTGATGAGGCCTCACCTCAGGTATTGTGTCCAGTTTTGGGCCCCTTACCACAAAAGAGACATTGAGGTGCTGGAGCAGATCCAAAGAAGGGTGAGGGATATGGAGAGTAAGTCTTATGAGGAACAGCTGAGGGAGCTGGGGTTGTTCAGTCTAGAGAAGAGGAGGCTGAGGGGAGACCTTATCGCTCTCTACAACTACCTGAAAGGAGGGTGTACGGCGGCGGGGGTCGGTCTCTTCTCCCAAGTCACAGGTGATAGGACACGAGGAAATGGCCTCAAGTTGCACCAGGGGAGGTTCAGGTTGGATATAAGGAAAGATTTCTTCACTGAAAGGGTTATCCAGAATTAGAATGGGCTGCCCAGGGAAGTGGTTGAGGCACCATCCCTGGAGATATTAAAAAGACGAGTTGACACGGTGCTCGGGAATATGGTTTAGTGTTGGGTTCTTTTGTTTGTTTGTTTGTTTGTTTGTTTTTTATGGTTGGACTAGATGATCTTAAAGGTTCCTTCCAACCTAGGTGATTCTGTGATTCTGTGTCAAGTCTCTCATCAGGCATGGCTAGGTCTGGAGGAGGATGTCCAACTACTGCCTGCTTCTCCTGCTCAACGATGGGCATCCCCATCTCAATAGTCCCAGCAAACACAGGGCAGCTGCCAAATGTTTTGCTGGAAACTGAGGAAATAGTGGTGGGAGAGGTTTGAGTCCATGGGGCTTCATTTCCTCTTGAAGGAATGTGGGTACCTGCAGCTTGAGCTATGCAGTCTACATGAGATAACTTGCCACGGAGAAATGTACCTTGCTGTGAAAGCTTCGTGCTCTTGAAGTTTGGAGACGTGATGCGTTTCAATCTGAAGCCTTCCTGGCTTTATTTCCATCCACAGTCTGAGGGTGCCCAGAGCGTGGAGGAGGCTCTGTGCCCCCTCCTGCCTGCGGAGCAGCCCAGCCCTGGGCTATTGCTGGGCGAGTGGCGGCACCTGCCGGAATTTTGCAGAATATTCTGGGTGTGATGGTGAGAAAAAGAGTGAAACAGCCGTTCGGAGCAGGACACGCGTGGCCTGAGGTAGGGAATGCAGAATGAGGTGGGTTAATGAGGTCAGAGCAGCCGAGGTGCTGAAGTCTGTCCTTTCTCCTGCTTGCTGTGGGAAGATCCCTAGCCATGAAACAAAAATCCCTCTAGGAAGTTACACAATATATCCAAAGCTACCTGTTTTCTGGGAAACCCCCTCCATATTCAGGCAGTGTGTATCTGTAGAGATGTAATAATTTGCACAAGCTGAGGCGGTGGTCAGGATCCACAAAAGCACTAGTTTTTTCCTGCGTTGGAAGCAGTGGGATTACCCCGGTTACATCGTGTCCTGGAATAATATTTCCTTCAGTAAATTTTACTGCCTCTTCACGTCACTGGGGTTAAGACCGTTACCACAGTGTATTTGGGTCTTAAATAAGTACTGTTTCTAGTAGCACTGCCAGGGGCCTTGAGCTTTTCCAAATGGAAGAGAAAGAGCAGCTCGGTCCTGAGGGCCCCACAGATGGATGGGACTGGGGAATGAGATGTAGGTTGGCAAAGCACCGGGAGGTGGTGTGTGGCTGTAGAGAACAGCCATGCAGAGGAAGAACCTACGCTGAAAACTTTTACTTTGTTTCTATAAATCCCCAAGATATCACCATTCAAATTCAGTGTTTGTGCCAGCTAGTTGATATTTAGGTTTGTTTTCTACAGAGGTAAGATGGGGATTTCTCCCCTTTTGTAGCATCTTGCTCCCACAAACATATTCTGAGGACATTGACCAGTTTTCAGTCACATCTGACAGAGAGACGTTAATTTCTGACAATTTAAAATGTGGCCTTAGAGAAGAAAAGGACCCTATTACTGCCCTTATTGAGGGGAAAGGCTTGCAAGCTCCTTCTTTGGTAGACCTCAGGGCATCTACGCTGTGCAGGAAGGAGAAGAGTCACTGCCAACAAGACTTCGTTAGTACTGCTGCTCCCAGAACTGCTTGTTACATCTCAAGATCTTGTGTCTTTTATGGCAAGGTGCCTCCCTCCCACCAGACCCACAACATTCACAGCATTTGCCAAGAAGAAGTCATGCCCTCCCATCTTGACCATTCCTTTACTCTGCAGGGTGGCATATATTATGGAAGAGATGGATAAAACTGTGAGGCACTTTGTGCAGCATCTGTCTGCAAGACAATTAAGATTTCTGTCATCTAGCTGCGGGATGCTCCTCAGAAGGGGTGTAGCAAGATGCCAGTTCAGTAGCTGTCCCTCCTCCTTGTGCTAAATCTCCTGAGCCTCTCCTTTAGGTTTGATGTGAACAGGCGTGATTTCCAACCAGCTGTCTGCCTGATTTACACCCGTGCAAATCACGGGTGGCTCCAGGACAGTTCAAAGGTAAGAGTGACTCAGTGTGTGACAGACCTGCTGCGCTGCACCTGTGCCGACAAGCAGCATGCAGGGCAGCAGGGTGCAGGCACCCCCGAGCCAGCAGAGAGTGGGCTGCTAAAGCTCGCTGGTTGCAAAGCTGCACATCGTAGCTCAGCCTGCGTTCGCCTGGAACTGGGCCCAAGCTAATAAACCCAGCTAGATTGCTTCCAGACCCGAGCTGGCCCAGGAGGAGCCAGCGCAAATGTCACTGCTCTATGCTGCCTGCTCTGAGCTAGTTTAATTGTCTCCGCTGGAGTGGGCCAGCTCCAGGCACCTGTAGGATGGAAACACACAGAAAGGGAGCACCGGATGCACCTGAAGCTGTGTCATTGAGGAGGTGTCTTGGCCAGGTTCTACCCACCTCTGCTCTATCTCTTGCTTCCCAAGCCCAGGCCGCTGGCAAGGCTTTTGCTCTCTCCCGCTGCTCCTCCGTGACACGCTGCAGTTGCTGTGGCTTCCGCACACAAGTTGTTTATAGGGTGCTGCCGGCTGTTCTGTGGCTGGGTGGTTTGCGGGTGTCCCATGGCTCCTGTCCGTCGTGTGCCTGGCACAGAGACACAAGTGCGTTTTGCCAGGGGGTCCTGTGGGCAAAGGGGAAGAGACCAGGCCCCGGGCAGCGGGGGTGAGGGGAAAACATGGCCCATAGGCCTGCGCGGGCACCCCTCACCCCCGGGACGGGCACCGGGACGATGCGGGCCCCCTGACAGGGCGCAGGGAGGTGCTGACCCTCTCCGCGGGCTCCCTCCCCTGCCCCGGCGGGGCGAGGCCGTGAGGGGCGGCCGGGCCCGCGGGCGGACCCCGCTCCCCGCCGCGCCGCTGTCAAAGCCCCGAGGGGCGGCCCCGGCGGCACAGCCCTCCCCCTGCCCGCCCCGACTGGCCCGAGCGAAGGGCTGGCCCCGCCGCCGCGCC